AAATTCTCTATGGCAAAAACTGAAAATTGTCTCCCTCCTAACTCAGCCAGTATGAGTCTGGCAGTTGGGAAATTTTTATAGGATACTCGGCCAAGACAGGGGAACAAAACGTGCCATTCAAATTTTTTTAATGAACACTTTCATTTTTTTTTATCGATTGTACCAGAAAGTTACGTTTCTCTCATGTATATCTTAGCTGTTCTCGTTGCGGTCTTTGATGCGAGAGAGAACATGATTTATTTTGCCTAAGGTGCGCGTAATGCAAAAGCTGAGCATAACTTTTGAACTTTTCGATAGAACTCGTTGGGCTGATTAATCAACTTCTAAGCAATGAAAACATTATATTCGGAATCAGGGTCAAAAACTGAGTCGACTGATGTGTGTTTCTATAATATCCGACTACTTTCATTTTTTTCGAATTTTCACGTTGAAAAAACTACCGGAAATTCATCGAAAACTGAAAATCAACTAAACATTTCGAAATATATACCGTCGATTCAGTTTTTGATCCTGATTCCGAATATGATGTTTTCATTGCTCAGAAGTTGAGCTATGATGGAGAAAATTGGAAATTACGGTGCGGCTTCTGACATTTGCGGCTCTTATTTAGAAAAAATGCATTTTCTCAGCAACGGCATAAAATTTTGAATGGTGCTGAGTTGTCGGACTGTGGTACACTGAAAATAGAAAAATATTGCTTTGATCAAAAAAACAGATTCAAGAAGAATTTTGAAAATATCAGAAGATTCATCGGAAAAGTCTGCATCTCCTCACATATTAAAATTTAACTGATAAATCTAAAACAATCTAACTTTGAACCTACTTTTCTCTCTTTCACTGTGTGAAGAACGTGGGAAACAACAGTTCAGTGTTGTTCTACTGGAAATACCCAGATCATTCTTGCCCGGTCGGAACCAGCTGGTTCCTTTACGTTCGGGCGTCTTCCTTGCAACCGGATTCCGGCTAACTATTCCTACGGCCGGTTCCATTCTTTCTCCAAGGTATTCCGACCGGTTCCAGTCGAAAAAGTCGTCGAAATTTTCCGAGCCGGAAACTCAATGGAATCCGGTGGTAGGAACACGCCGGAGCATAAAGGAAACGACCGGGACGACGATGGAATACAACGAAACCGATCGATTCCGCGACGGTTCTGGCGGCCGGAACGATCGACCTGGGTAGTGTCCAATGTGCCGAATTATTTTCATGTCTTATATTCGGTTGCATCGGTCTTTTACTTCTCTCATCGAAATTGCCGTTATATTTCTTATCTAGGCCACTTCTATTTTATATAATATTTCTCTACAACAATTGTAAAAACCCTAAATTCGAGCGTTAATGAATCGAAACGGTTAGTAAACAAAAAAAACTTAATATGAGTTAGATGTTTTTTGTAAAAATGAACAATATGTCTGAGAAAACAAGGATAAACAACGCACTAAGCACAAAAAAATCAGCCAAAGAAGGTAATTTCTCTCCGAGTAAAGAAGAGATGAGAACCCCTAGGAAAAATTCCAATAGATAGATAAAAAAATTTACAAATCTTCATATATAACCCATTCTGGTCATTACACTTTGCTACCGTTATTGTCTAAGAAGTACCGTGAACGCTGAATGAAGTATCCTCAACTAAGAAACTTTTTTTACAACCTCACTTACTTTCGAAAAGGCTAAATGGGAAGAAGTGAGATCTTGTAGAATTAATCTTTTTGACAAAGAGACATTTTTTGTGTTGAAAAAACAACATACATTTTCTATTCACACTAACAGTTTCATAATTTTGCATGAATTAAGAATTCATGGGACTGAAAGTGAGACGGATAAACTTTTGACCATAAATTTTGACAAACAATGGACACATGTATATATGGTTAAATTGAATCATCGTTCTATTGTTACCTGGTTACATTAAAAAGATCATTGTAGATATCTAAATTACAAACTATGCACGAAAATATTTCTGTTCGAGATATGCTAAACAGTAATAGTATCTTGTATTATGATTTTAATACGTTAAATTTATAAAATTTTATCTCCTACAACTAATGTCCGTTTATCCTCCAGTTATTATTGATAACGGAACTGGAATGTGTAAATGTGGTTTCTCGGGTGAGGATACTCCTCGTTCCGTATTCCCTGCTATTGTTGGACGACCGCGACATCAGGGTGTAATGGTCGGAATGGGTTATAAAGATTCATATGTAGGTGAAGAAGCACAAGGTAGACGAGGAATCCTATCGTTACAATATCCAATAGAACATGGAATTGTGATCAATTGGGATGATATGGAAAAAATTTGGCACCATGCTTTTTTTAATGAATTAAGAATAGCACCAGATCAACACCCATGTTTAATTACAGAAGCACCACTAAATCCAAAAACAAATAGAGAAAAAATAGCTCAAGTATGAATTATATCAGTTTTAAAATTATATTTCAATATTTCTTCATCATGTTAGTGAGAAAGATGGAAATTGTATCGATTTTCGCTTGGTTAGCTATTTTTCTAGTACTTGAACGTGACTTAATATAATACCATAAAACAATCACTAATCAGATACCTCTTCTAGCAGAACGATATCATTGTAATTTCATTTTTATTTTGGCGAAGATACCCATGTTGTCGAAACCGGACGGAAACTGGCGGTTAGCCATGGTTATTTCAGCTGAAACCAATACCTGAAAAACCGACGGTTAACCTCACAATTAATCGGAAAAACGATCGGTTAACCGTTTTCGACAACATGGGTAGTAACCCCCTCTCTAGAATAGAAGGGTATGGCCTTCTACTGTGTTCCAGCGGATCAAACTTTTTAGAATGACCTTCTATCAGGGGTGGCTTTCTAATCGGACCTTCCAACCAAAATTTTCTAAAAGTTTTCGAAAATCGTCAAAAGCTTAGAATAACGATTTTTTTCGTTTCATAACAGTTAACTAATTGGTGCTCTAGGGTACTCAACAATTGCGAATCTGGGTCTTAGACTATCTTTACATCTCCGAAGCTTGGCAAATCGAAAACAGTCATATGCGAGTTCGTCATAAAAACAATGAAACTACTGTATATTCGTTCCTGCTTGCGAAAATTTCAAGAGTCCAGATCGAAAACATGCATCATATCACGGTTTCTAGGAGTCAATTGGTGAAAAGTTTTCGAAAAAAGTGAGGTGATTGTATTAGAAAGATATGGCCTTCTAATATGGAGTTTACAGAATTGTCTCAGAGGTGGTCTTCTATTCTGGGAAGGGGTTTAGAATCCAAAAAAATGAGATCTGCTCCTAAATAATTACTTATCAATCTTTTAGATAATGTTTGAAACATTTGATGTTCCATGTATATATGTTGCCATCCAAGCCATTCTTTCACTGTATTCAAGTGGACGCACAACAGGTGTCGTGTTAGATAGTGGAGATGGGGTTACTCACACTGTTCCCATTTTTGAAGGTTATTCTCTTCCTCATGCAATTGTACGATTAGACTTTGCTGGAAGAGATATTACTGATTTTCTAATGAAATTATTAATGGAACGAGGATACTGTTTTACTACATCAGGTATACGAACTCTTGCTGAAGAAAAATTGTATATTTTAAACTCGATCTTTTGTGACATTTGTCATCATTTTGTCAATAATGTTTTGTTTTTTTTGTTCAGCTGAACGAGAAATTGTTCGCGATATAAAAGAAAAACTCGGTTATGTGGCATTAGACTATGATGAAGAAAAAATGACCGTAATAAAAACAAGTATGGTAGAAAGAACGTACGAGTTGCCAGACGGACAAACAATACGAGTCGGATCAGAAAGATTTCGATCGCCAGAAGTTTTGTTTAAACCAGCATTAGTCGGTAATAACATTCAAGCAGAGTGTACCCTTATTCACAATATATACAGAAATACAATACTAATAGCAATGTTTTATTCGTTCTAGGAATGGAAGCACGTGGGATTCATGAAACAACGTTCACGTCAATAATGCGTTGCGATGTTGATATTCGTCGCGAATTATACAATAACATTGTGTTATCAGGCGGTTCAACGATGTTTACAAATATTCATGAACGTTTACAAAAAGAAATCATACGAATGACTCCAGCATCGTTAAAAATAAAAATTATCGCTCCACCACAACGAAAATTTAGTGTTTGGATTGGTGGAAGCATTTTGTCTGCTCTATCGACGTTTCAACACATGTGGATCAGCAATCAAGAATATTCAGAGTTCGGACCGTCTATTGTTCATAGAAAGTGTTTTTGAGAGGTTAAATAGAGAGAGCATTCTCAATTAGAATATAATGCTTGCAAGAAGAAAGCAAGAAAATGTCACGTATAGAGTTGATACCGAGGACAAAATATTTCTATATGAATTATCTTATCCACATGTCATTTTCTTATATTTTTTACATGAGAATGTGATTGTAAAAACAGTGAGCAAAATATAAATCTATATAGTATTACTTGGAGTTTGCGTGATACACAGATCCCAAACTCACCCGTCAAAAAGTATTCACTTTTTTTAAAGATCGACATGAAAAGGCATAAAGACTAGGCTTTTGGGCTGAGATTTAGTTTTCACTTAAGTTTTCTGCACTTATGTATCATCTTTAATGATAGTTACTGGTATTTTCGTTGTGTCTTTCTTCTGTGAAAGAAAGCCTTCAAACAGCTTGTTTACCTTTATTTGTTCGAAATGTTAGACACCAATGTATGGGAAAAATAAAATGCCATTAATCCGATGTAATACTTACTACGTCGGACTATGCTTGGTTAAGACATAAGAGAAAGCAATGTAGAAGAAGTTGCTAAACAAACTGACCATAACTATCCATCACCAACGTTTTTAATCTAGAAGATGAATCCCATGGATCAACTGCATTTCTATGTTTTACGGATTATAGAATGTTTGTAAGAATTCTGTAAGTCTTCCCTATAGGAGATTTAAGAGAAATTCGATAAATATTTTTCCCAAATAATGTTTGGATGTATTGTATTCTGAATTGTGACTAATCATGATATGAAAAAGCTTAGAATATCCATTCTTTGTTGTTCCAAATCTCAATCCCGATACATCAGTTTGTGTATACATTGAAAAGTTGTGGGGAACTGATCATTTTGAGTATGTGAGGATCTTCATCAGTAAGGAGTTAACATTGAGTTGTAACATCTGAGAGATCTGTACACTTAACATCTATATGTGATCAAAAGTCCAAGATGAAAACTAACTTTGAATTAGACACATCGATGCGCCATGATTTAGCTCGGTCTCTGGGACACCAAAAAATGGTGATCTTGTCAGTATTGAATGCCATTTAATTTAATCGGCCTAAGAATGCTCAAAAAGAAATTGAAATTTGTTAAAATTCTCCATTTCTCTCCATCTGCGGACTGCACTCGGTACATAATCCGAAACCTTTGAAGTAGCCAGACTTCTTTTAAAGTATCCAGTGCTGTAGTGTTCGAGCTAATCATTTTCCAACCCAAGCACGGGTTCCGATATTGTATCATGTTCAGATACAGACTGTCACTGTGAGATAGAGTTTTGACCGTCTAGCGACATGTTTATGCGAAGATATAGATCCGAAACTATGGACTGTTGTTATCTTAGGATGGCAAAACACATCTGAGAAAAGCTTATTTTAAGCAAGCCGATGAGCTGAACATTTTTGATAAAGAGTGCCGATCTCAATAGTGTAAGCGTGCTGTGACAGACAGAAGTTTCTATAGGGTACCTGATCGAACATTGATATTTTTGCTTATAAGTCAATCTTTTCTTCATATAGCGAGAAATCATAATGAAAAAGACATGAATATAGCAATAAAGTAATTAGATGTTACGAAATTGAATGAAAGAAGCTCATTTGGAAGTCATCATATCATCTTTCTGATCCACTACACTTACACTAGTCTGTGTTATTAGAATGCACAAAATCTGAAGATCTGTTCTTCAGCGTCCGTAGACCGTCCAGTTTCATATAGGCATATCACTAGAACTTCTAATTTTCTCACATTTATAGTCTGCCAAAGATTATGCGTTGGTAATATAAACGTTGGACTCCAAGGAAAGATGTTCTTTCTCTTATCTAACGATAAATGATTCTAAAATAGCAGGATTTCACAATCCACTGATCTGCTTAGTTATAAAATCCCATTCAAATATAATTTATTATGTAACAACAGACAGTAATAACTAAGGGAAACTGGCAAAATTTTGAAAATTGATCTTTTTCTGCAAAAAAAGCCATTTGATTCCGCTACTGTTGTTGACCATGCAATCGTTGACAGCTGTCGCAAAAATAGACAATAGAAAAATGAAATTTCATTGCTTCTTTTTGATCTCTCAATCACTTTAAAATTACATGAGAGTAACGCTCCTGCAGATTATGAATGTAAAGTCGATTTAAAGAATCGCTCAGAAATAAATTTTTATATACATTGGTAATAATATCTGATTTATGTTTTTTTATTTTACTAAAAAGACGTTATTTTCATATAATAAATTAATTAATTAATCTTAGATTTGATAATGTCCACGTTAAAAAAAAAGGCTTGTCGCCTACCCTGATACAGCGACACGGTTACGAATAATACAAACAACGATAAGAAAAACAACAACAGACAACTTGAACTGATTACACACCACACATACGTAACTATCCATTTAATCGACTAGCGCAAAAACAGCTCAAAATAAATGATTAGAATACAATACCATTAAACAAGAAAGAGAAATGATATAACAATTACATTTTAAAAAAGAAGAAATCATAATAATAACAGGGTTATGAAAAGTATGAAAAATGACGGAATGTTTTTTGCAATAAGAGCTTGAACAAGAATGTTTAGACACATCATTTTGTTTTGTTTTTGTTCTCTAACCAGATGATGTAGCAGTTTCGGTTTGTTGCATAACACTTCGAATCATTTGAATCTGAGCCTAAAACATAAAAGAAAATAATAATTATTTCATAGTATTATAGTTTTTAATATTTTTTTCTTACTTTGGCATGTTTAATTTGTAAATCGCTTAATTCAATTAAATTTTTTCGAAACATTTGTACACGACGTGTTTTAAAATCATGCAATTCTAAAAGAAGAAAAAATCTTAATAATTATATCTATAATCAAATAACTCTTTCTCTTCTACCATCTTTTGCTTTTTCCGATAAATTTTCAAATTTAGTTTTTATTGTTTGTTGACTTGCTTCAGCCTAGAAAAATATTGATATAATCTAAATATTTAACAAGAACATATTTTATCTCGATACTCACTAGGGGTATGACAGTTTCATATCAACTCCTATCATAGGAACTGTTGAAAAGTTCTTTTGAAAGGAGCTGATATGTTTGAACAGCTCTTTTGAAAGGAGCTGATATGTTCGAGCAGCTCACTAGTCGTCTAGACAAAGTTTAAACGTCCCGAATGTTCATTAGACGTTCATATCAGCGAAGTCTTGCAATCATAAATAGGAGCATGTAAAATGGTCAATTTTTTATTCCTCAGATAAGTATGGTTAAAAAGTAAAATAAAAGAAGTATGATCTTTGTAAGAAAAGCAGACTAAAGAAAAGATTAAAGTTTATCTTTTAGGAACATTGAATATTTCAAGTTTTTAGTTGAGAGAGAAGACCGTGTTTTTCGAGCAACATAGCCTACGATTGAGAATGCGCTCTCACTGGGAACTGAGGTTGCGGGTATAGGACCGAATCGACGTGCCATCTGGTTCAATATTGAAAGTAAAGTTGAATGTTTTCTCCAGAATGACGCAAATGTATGACCGTTCTTCTCCAGCGCTTCGAGTTGAGCAAGCTCTTGCTTCAGCGTGAAAGCTTTAGCAGTAGTCGTTGAAAAAATTTCAAAAAATTTCAAAAGAGCTGTTCAAACATATCAACTCCTTTCAAAAGAACTGTTCAACAGTTCTTTCGCTCAAATGAGCTGAACTTATGAGCTGGAACTGTTACAGGTCTAATACTCACTTGTGGTACATCTTTATTTTTTTGTCGTGCTTTATCTAAATTTTTATTTGCTGTATCAAAATCGGCTAAACAACGTGAACGTCGATACATCAAATCTAATGCCGCTTTACTATCTCTCATATAATAACGTAATGTATCAGATAATTTTAAATCTATATCTGATTGAACACGTGATTCTAATTTCTAAAATTAACATACACAACAATAAAAATTCAGTATGATATAATAAAAATCAAGAACATACTCGTGCTTTTTCAAATAAATCAGCTAATATAAGTAAATATCTAAAGAAAATCAAATATATTATTAAACTTATACAAAACAAAAGCTTTCAAAATGTTTTACTTTGATAAATCACTTTTATCAGTTGTTGCTAATGCATTCCAACCCGCTGACATTTTTATATACTGATCAGCAACATCTTAAATAGAAAAAATAAATTTATAGGATCTCTATTATATTATTATCTATTAAAATTTACTTTTATATGCTCGAGTATAACGATCCGCTTGATTTGTGGCATCTTTTATCTTTGCATTATAATTAATTAAAAATTGTTTTTGATGTTCAAAAAATTCGTCTTGTTCCTACAAAATTGATAAATATATTCATCAAATCTTTCAAAATATCCTATGTTGTATATTTAACCTTTTGATTGGCCAATATGACTTCATCAGCTGTTTTTGTTAATGTTTTAAAAAAACCGCTTATTTGTTCTTTGGCATTTTTTCCACGTACACTCAACTATCAAAAAGAAAATATAAAATCATTTAAGATTCTTATTGATAAGAGATGAATAAAATCTACTTACATCTTCTTTATATTCCAAGAATACGCGAAAATTATTATCATTACGTAATATGGGATGTGCAGCTAAACGTTGTAAAAATACTTCATGCATACTAACAGTTTTTTTAAACATTGCCAAATATTCACTAGAAAATATAGAATCAATATGTTTAAACTTTAAAAAAATATGAATAAAAAACAAATAAAAAAATGACTTACGCCTCTAGTTCTTGTTTCATTTTTTCATATTCTTCTTTAGTTAAACTTCCTTCACTGTCACTTAATTTTTGTAATTTTGCTCGTGATGAATCAAAATCCGGTCGTGGTGGTGGAGGTGGAATCTAAACAATAAAAATCAATTTTAATATCTTAAATATCTACATAACACACATTTTCTACGTACAATTAAACCCGCATATTCTTCATTTTCAACATAACGATCATGTAACCATATAAACTCTTCATGTTGTCTGGATACATTAAATTCGCGTTCACTGAACACAGCTAGTTTAGTCTAGAAAGAAAGCAAATGATTATGATTGATGTGAATGTGATAGATATAGATAAAATTATAGAGCTAAAGAGATCATAGCATTATTCCATTATGTGAATTAGGACATGATTCAAGATGAAAATCTATAAGAAAACAGAAAACCATCCTATATTCACCAAAAGAAGGGCAATTTTACAGCAAAAGAACTTAGAAGTGTTCTAAAATTATAGCAGTTATGATAACACAATACTTCGTAATCAATATTTTTTCTATGAAAAAGAGAGAGATAGGTAACATGTGAGACCAGATAACAAATTATCTGTAAATTCTTTATCTAGAGTTACTTTCAAATTGAACGTACTCACCGACTTACTTTATCAAATCCAAGTCTCCTATTAGTAGTATTCGAATCTAATGGTATTTTTGATTGTCTATCAATTTCTTTCATCTTATTTTAGCTTACTTTTGTATGAACAGTAAATTTGACTTTGTCTTTTTCTGATAATGCGTCTGATATATCAATAAGTAACGACGAATCATTTTCGTTCAGATCAACTGTTTCACCACGGTGCTGAAAGTAGAAAAGATAAATAAAAAATATTATATTTATTTCACAAATATAACAAGTTTTTTTATTTTGCTTACTTTACTCGTATCGGTTGTTTCTTCCTAAAAGAAAGTTATAACAAAAATATAAAAAATAATATAGATATCACGAAACTACTCACAAGCATTTTGTGTATTTGTTTAAGCTGTATAAAAATATTAAAAAATAATCTAAAAGATCTGAATCTGAAATGGACAATAGAATTATTATTTGATCAAAAAGAAAATTTAATATCAGAATTTACTGTAGTCTGTCTGCAAGAATGATGATATGATGAAATTTCGCCTGCCTTACAATACTCAGTTTGTACTTTCAAAAAGTCTAATTCATATTTTCTCATCAATCATAAATGTAGGATATTTTCGTTGTTTTTAAAATATTTTATGAACGACCTTTTCTGTACATGTTTTAAAGAGAATGCATTCTAGAATTAGTAAACAGAACGTATTATGTAGTATCATCGACGATCATGACGAATGAATAGAAACATAGTTCAGTTCAATAAAACGATCATCTTCTTTTCAACCATTAGTTAGAAGATATAATAGGCACTAAATCTGTCGTGAATAAAAGAGTCTATGTGCTTTCTATATAAAAAAAGAGCATAAACAGTTCGAATATAGGACTAAGCTAGTGTTGAAAGGTATTGTTCGTATGACGGTGGCGGTGTTAAATAATAATGTTGTGGTGGTTGATATGCTAAAATATCACATTGATGTTGTCTTGCTAGAGCTGCACCAATAACACTATTTGTTGCTTGTTTTGGTCCAATAATCACTGTTGGATGACAAACCGTAAGTGAAACTGACATGGACGAATTGAGTGATCTATGTGAACGTTTATTCGATGATAATGACAATAATGAAGTATTACGACGATATTTTGCACGACGATTTTGAAACCATACCTCAAATATTAGAAAAAAGGAATACATTACTGCATTACCAGTAATTACTAGAATATATACTTACTTGTACTTTATTTTCAGCTAGACCAGTTTGTCTGGCTAACTGCTCTCGTGTATACGCATCTGGATAATGACCTAAAGATATCCAAAAAAAAAAATCGTTACAAGAAGAAAAGACTCATTCACGCTTACTGTTTTCAAATGCTTTCTCTAAGAGTTCTAATTGTGCATATTCAAAATTTTTTCGATTTTTTTTATCATGTGTTGAACATATTGTTGAAGGTATTAAAGAACTTTTTGTTGTTTTATCGTTTTTGAGTAAAAAATCTTGATTACTATGCGTAGAGGTTGATAAAGATGGACTTTGAACATCAGTATAGTAACATCTTTCTCCGTATGTATTAAAATCTGAATAAAGAAAACTAAAATACATGTAAAAGAACCGAAAACAAATCAGATCAAATGTACACAGTATAACAATATTTTCTTTAGATAAAAACTAGCCTAGTCACAATACACTCAGAGATGTATCAGATCACGTTGGAGAAAACAAGAAGCGTGTATGAACTCCTGTCTTTACGTACCAAATAATTCTAGTTTATTCATAATGAAAAATGTTCATTCAATCACTTATCACTAAAAGTGACATCAAAATATTGCTTTGTTTTTTTTTTCGATTCATTCACTGATAAATGTCTATATTTTCGTATCATATTATAAATCATTTCTTGACATTCCACATGACTGATAACCGTTAAGAACACAGAAAAAAAAACCAAGAACATGGATACGTGTAACTTTGGAGTATGGCTCTCAAATATGCTCAATTGGAATTGAAAAATGATCAGAAAAAATTCCTCTTCACTTTTTAAGATTGTTTGTTCTTTTGACTCTTTAACGAATATAATCAACTCTTTTGCTCTTGATTTCAGACAATAAAAGAAAAACATCTTACACAAATGATCGTATAATTAATTATAAGTCATAGTCCGATAAATTCAGAACACAATGATTCCTCTAATTTCTGGCGTTTATCCAGTAGTCGTCAATGAATCGTTCCAAGTAAATGGGCTAAAAACGTAATTCTGTAACGTTTTGTACTATTTTCTCGTATTTATATCTTTGAACGACGGAGCTCGCGATTGTCTCGTTGTGAAGAAAAGTGTGCTTAACAAAATGATAGTCCTCAGAGTTCTCCAGCACTCCTGGTTATGGAAGTATGTCAACAACACGTAGACATAGATTTTTAAACATACATTTATAAAAAGAAAATTTTTGAATAGTATTAAATGTCGCAATATCTTTATAACCAAGAGTTCTAAGATTTGCCATTTTGTTAAGCACACTTTTCCTCACAAAACGAGACAATCCTGAACTGCAAGTATGTTTTTGTTCGAAGATACAAATACGAGAAAATAGTACAAAACGATACAGAATCACATTTTTGGCTGAACTACTTGGAACAGACCCACTCATTTTTCCATTCAGCATATTTTTTGCTCAAAATACTTTCAATTTTCGCACAAAAGTTGAACTATCAAGCACAACCTGAAGGTGAATTTTATCAGCAGAAGAGAGAAAGGGAATTGATTTATGCAAGAAATAAAAGGTATGACAGTTCTTACTTTTCCCTTAAACTACTGACTACCACAACAATGAATGTGTAATGTAGGAAAGCTATATAAGATGATTAGTGCAGACTGATAAAGTGTATCCAATAACTATAACTCCTTTGCATCCTTACCCTATCAGATAAGGTATATCATGGTCTAATTTTTTGATCTGGATTGCTTGAAGCGTGAAGCAAGGAAGCGGTGATAGCAGACGAGCGTTGCCTGTTAGCACCGAAAGTATCACATCGCATGGAATTCGATTAGATTATCCTATTACCAATTATAAACTAACAACATTGTCTACAAAACGTTGGATAAGATCTCGAGTCGCTCTCTTTATCATAAATATGATTCATTTCCCATCTTCGGTGATAGACGTCATATATTTTTGATCAACTAAATGCAAATCATTTTCGGTATTTATCATCACATATTTTATCTAAAATTGTTGATCGTCGATTTGCCACTGTAATATGTTAGTCTTCGAATTTATTTTGTTCATCTGGTTTCTTATATGTCCATAGGCGTCGTTCCATTCAGGATGAGTGTAACCACCCCATGCTAAACGAAAAAATCGTTCTTGAACATGATGTGAGCCTTTTGATTGACCATATTCGTCATAATTTAATTGTGGAGCGAATGTTTTATGTTCTTTATAAGCGAGTCATGTATGCGTTTTTGTACGAAGCTGAATGATTCATTTAAGGAGAAAAATCTACAAGAAAATATTAATTAGTACGCGTGACCTTATTTGTTGTAAAGACTTTTGTGCAATATTATATCTTCTACTAAAAGAGATAATCAACAGACGACATGAGAAGTGTGAAACAGAACAGTGTTTAAGTGACTGAAAAGAATGATAACTTACTCCTTAAGTACGCTGTTATTGGATAAATTTTTAAGCCAAAAGATAAGCACCTGTTTATTTCGATGAATCGCTGTTTTGATTTTCTATATATTGTAAACTACCGATTGTTTATCAACATTCGCCTGCGCTAATTATATTGAAAACTCGATGAACTTAGTTTATGATTTAGACTGTTAATAACGACATCTTCCGAAAACAAAATGCATCGGCAAGATAAGTGAACGGACAAATTGCAAGATATCCCTACTCTTCGAGCGATAGAATGATCACTTTTTTCACCGCATAATACAAAACATAAGCCTCCAAATTCTGTAACAGGTCTTCTAGCAATTTGTCGTTTAATGAACGTTACAAAGTTAGTGAGAGAGTGTACGAGCTGTGAACGCCTGTACATAGACAACAGAAGTCCTTTATATCTCTACCCTACTTACTAAATGGTAAGGCACAAAAAGTTTAGCTTTTCTGGTATGTTTATTCAAAATGCTGAATTTCGTTCCATTTCTATTTGGTGTCGTTTATTATATGTATGTGAGAATGGAATCGGATACAACGATACAAAAAACTGCAAATGAAACGGGAAAACGCAGCAAACAGAAATTGTTATCTTGCATATTGTAAAACAATCCTTCTTTATTCTTTTTCTTCTGCTCTTAAACGTGCGTTTGGATTGGTTACTTTAATCGCTAATTGCTGTGCACGTTCAACGATTTTCTTACGATTTGGTCCTGATACCGTATGACCAATTTCAGCTGCAAACTTTCTGTTTTGCATTAGTAACATTTCTAATTCCTAAAATAGAAAGTGGAAAAGGAATACATTGTTAATAATTTAATTTTTTACTCTGTAAGTTCTAAATTGTTTATAAGAATGAGTTAAAGAAACTTGCTATAATCTGACATATTTGAACATAATCATAAATTTTAAGCAGCATTAATAAAACTACGATGACGTAACTTTATAAAAAAGAACTTTTCTCAACAGTTTATAATCACAATGATTTTTTTCTATATGAAACGTGAACTCACTTTCACATTATGAACAAGAAATGGTCTAAATCCATCTGGTCTCATGTGTCTTGTACGTTTGTCTGAACCATAACCGATACTTGGCATCAAATAAACACCTTTGAATCGTCGTCGAACACGATTGTCAATACCACGTGGTTTACGCCAATTTGGCTGAAGAACAAGAACAAAGAAATCAAATATGAAATAAAAAAATTATAAATTGAAAAAGTAGTACGTACACGTAGACGATTATAACGATCACTTTGATGACGAACAAATTTTTTTGTTCGTTTTTTTAATATTCGTCCTTTATTCAGTGGTTTTAATTTAGTTACCATTTTTCCAATTCTATCTACGAATAAACATTAAAAGACACGTGTAAAATTAGTATGACTCTATCTTTGAGGAAAATACAGCCAAAACACGCCATTACAAACTGCTTAATTAATGTACACATGTTACTTAAGATGAATGCTAAATTGTCAGATTACTTTAAGACGTAGCTCAATGTTCGAACAACATTCTGAAAGTAAAAATACAAAAAAAATTGACCCTTTAGCAAAATAGCAGATAGCTATGGAATATATGAACTAAAACATAGAGGTAGACAGAGTTGTTAATTTATTTCATCACAAAAAACATTATTTACGTTTTTGTGTCTTTCAATTTATTAACAATACAAACTCTTTCATGTCTCCTGTTAAAAACACAAAACAAGAAAACTCCATAAGCTGCTTTTTTTTCTTCTCTATTGTTGATCAGCACCACTTCGATTTCGATCTTGTTCATCAAATCTGGGTTTTCCACGCCCATATCCTGAGCGCTGAAAAGAAGACAATATGAAATAAAATTTTGCAGTTATCTTTCAATATTTATTTGAATTACGTACAAATTCTGGTCGAGCTGATCCGGCACCAGCTTCACCTTGTTTATCATATCCACTTCTATCAGTACGACGATATTCTTGACGACCTTGATCACCTTGTGGAGATTGAGCACGAGTTGAATCGACTAGAAATAAACAAAAATAATTATGCAAAAAATTAGAAGTAAACGCTTGATTGAAACTGTAAATAAATCGAATTATCGGAACAGTCAAGGAAGTGAAACTTCACAATTAGTTCTAGATCATCTATAGTTCAAGTTTACGAGGGCTTTTTCTTCCAAAAGTCAGTTCATTATGTTACGATGTGACGAAATAATAAAGAGCTAGTTAAAGTACTAATAGAAAAATGTATTCATTCCAGAATGCCATCTTAAAATCCTAGAGTAATAGGATAAAAACTCTATAAAAATAAAATACTTAAAATGTTAACCTCTTTTAGCTTGTTTAGTATCTGGTCTTGTTGGTCGTTTCAACGTGGCTGGTACAATTTCCGGTGGTAAATTTAAATATTCTCGTAAATAATTTGTACCATCATTTGTTAAATACCAGTAATAGTGACGCCATGCAAATTGTTCTTTAACTAAATTACGAGATTTTAATGACTAGAATAAAATATATGGTAAATTAAAACTATGAGTGTTCAAGTTATTGTAAATCTACTACGACATACTTGTAGTGCTTTGATAACATGAATATTTGGCACAGCTATGGCAGGATGTTTATCTAGACCAAATTCCTTTTCAGCAACAACAACACCCTCTCTCATTAAATATTCATAGATTAATGTACGGTGTTTCTTTGGCATCAACATTTTTAAAAAAGAGCTCTTCCTTTATAATTCTAAAAAAAAGTAGAGAAAATAAAGACTAATTAGGTTTTAGAAAGTAGAATTACAATAGCTACAAAAATCATACAAAAGTGAAATAAAAATATATTTCAACATACAATGGCTAGACTTGAACAGAGGTGGACAATTTCGACAAAAAATTAAAAAATAAGTTCAAGAGTTATTTTACTTTTCAGCAATAATTTAACTTCAACGATTATTGGTAATTTTTAATTACCAAGGGGGATCGTATCACGAAAAAACTTAAGTCATACTTAACTGTATAAAATTAGTACGTAAGTGCACATAACGAAGACTTAAGTCCAAATTTTGACTTAAGTTTTTTTGTGATACGGCCCCCTGGACTTAACGTCTTTTTTTGGATTTAAGGTATGAAGAGCCGACTTACCGCCTTTTTAAACCATTTTTGAACACAACTATGATAATTAAAAATTATGAATAATCGTTGAAGTTAAAATTAATGCTGAAAAGCAGAGTAACTCTTGAACTTATCTTCAGTTTTTTGTCGAACTTGTCCATCTCTGGACTTCAATACAAATTATTTCATTCAAAGAATCAGTTGACTTTTAAAGTTAACAAGCAAATTGAGATATTTATCGTCAGTAATAGTGATTTATTACATTCAGGCTGAGAATAAGGATTTGCTGGAAACTTTAAATAGCCGCGATTAGAGCAAATGTGGGATACGCTACTTTAAAATACCAAAATACCAAATAAATGAGAAAAAGAGACATTTTTCAGAAGAGGCAGTCTAAGTTTTTTTTTTGCATCAGACTTGAAAATGAGAGGTCCATATTTTTCTCTTATGTTAGCTCACTTCAACGGTAAAACACATACTGTCGAAAAAAATCTCAACAACATCAGCTCTAGATCTGAATTTTTTTAAATTTTTTTCCAGAATGGTAACATCTACAAATGTTGGGAAATTGTTGTTAAATGAAAGCATAGATTTGTGGCTTCTTTACAGTGTTGGCCAGACGATGATGACGTTAGGGGTGAAGAGTAAGTGATAATGGTTCATTTTAACTAATCAGAATCTTTGATGAGTCATATTTATTTTTTAGTGCTGTATAGTTATGAATGTATGTATTGATAAAACTACCGATTTCGACTCGTAGATGTTGTGTGTGAGATAGTCGCTCATTTGAATTTCGATCCCTCATAAATTTTATGCCCTTTATAAAAGTTCCTCTTGTGGATTTTTCATTTTTTCGTTTTTTTCCAAAATAATATTTTACTAGCTACAGCACTGTCCCGGAAAAGCATACCTTTAGAAAAAGCACACTTAAATTGTGCCAATGACATGGAAAAAGTGTACTGATGTATGCTTTTTATGTGCTGCTAGCATGCTTTTACCGTGTCACTGACACATTTTTAGTGTGCTTTTGGTACACTGCGGTAGCATTTTTGGACGCTTTTTGTGTGCCACTTCTAAACTGTGCTAGTAGCACATAAAAAGCATACTTCGGTACACTTTTTCCATGTTATTGGCACAATTTAATTGTGTTTTTTCTAAAAGTATGCTTTTCCGGGACAGTGAGTGGAGTGGCATAAACTAATGGATGCAGTAATTTTAAGAATCGTGAATTGTAATGTATTAACAAAAATATATAATATGCGCATGTCCAGAGGGAATTGTTTCATCATCTTTTTTATCCCATGAACTTAAGTACAGACTGAAATTAGCGTTTGATTGCCTTTACTGTGTCGGTTTTCATCACTGATTTAATATAACACAACTTTTGAGATGTCTAGAGTCAATGATTAACTAAACATTACGTTCCATGTAGTGAATACAAACTTAAGTCGACACTTAAGTTTACGAATATTTAGAAATATTGTGTAACAAGCGTCAGGGCGCAAATCAATCAACATACATAGTAAATATAGTACGTACAAAAGGAGAAAAAAGAAAGTAGACATGTGTACAATAGTTCTCTTAATGTTATCTCGTTGTATTTGTACACCCTTTTCGCATCTGATATTTGTCAAAAAAGCCGAAAAGATGCCTTTAGGATGCTTTTTTCTTATCGTATCCTGTTTCTTTCAGATGTGTGCTCTTGCATATGGATAATTGTTAACAGATGACGATAGTGAATAAGTGAAACTAACGAAGAACAACAAAACGTGAGAGTAGATTGATCAATTCGCGTTTTTATACCCCCACATCCACGTGTGTAGAGATTCGCAATACCGAATCGAATATATTCATGGATTCATCGATGGTGTGTGCAGTGACATAATCTTTTTTTTGACAGTCAGTTCGCTGTTCTATTTTAGATTGAGGTATGAACAATGACATATGTATATACATTCATAGTGAAGCTGTTTGATTTAACTAATGTACGGTTCATGTTCCAGAAATTAATGTACGCGAACAATATCTATTCGATAACAGCAAAATATATAAAATGCCGAACAATTAATTGACCGTTTACATTATGATTTTAACCAACTAAAACACATTTGAAAAAAAATGAAAAATTTAATTATAAATTCCTGTAAATCATCAAAAATCTCGTGGGTACGCAAAGCATCTGTTTCTTACTAAGATCTGCTAGTGGCACGGCTATGTAAGACTAATTATGTACTATCTGATGCCCTAGCATCTCTCTTTTATCTTTTGTTCTTTGAAGAAAAAAATGGAGAAAACTGGAAAATGCCTGTAACATAATTATAGACCTCCTAACGAAAAATCATATTTTCT